GTGTTGTTCAGCATGGGGGTGAGTAGAAAATGAAGGCTAATCATGTTTTGGGTGTACTATTCCTTTAAGCTCAGGCTGATGGCAAACTAAAACATTCTTCACTCATTTTCAGGTTTCTGTCACATCAACGTCTGAGGATGAAACATCATTTTCACAATCAGCCACTGAGTAAGGCCCCTCCTGATATAAACTGGAGTGTAGAGCTAAATGCTATGATATATGTAAACATGCTTGTTTGTCTTCTTTTCCAGGGAATCAACTGATTCCTCACTGCAGAGCATGCAGATGACTTCAAGTCAATCCATAATATTCACTGATTCCTCAAACCCCTTCAGTGCCCAGGTTTGTTCCAATATAACCTAAAAAATGTAAACTTTCAGTTTGATTACTACCACAGTTATTAACCACATTTTTTTTCTTGTTTAGCAATGCATTTGTCGGTGCATTGAGCAACCATACCTTGAGATCATATGAAGCACAAACATTTTTGCATCCGTATTTTGCTCTCCATTGCTAATGTTTTATTTGATTTGTTAATAAAAGTTTATTTTTGTTTAAACTGAAACTTATTAACTTTTGTTACCAATGTTTAATTTTTATAATATAATGCAGGAAGAGTAAGCAATGTATAAAGCAAATAGCTTTTATATTTATAATGAATACAGTCAAGGCTTTTTTGTGTTTTTTAGAATGATGAGGAAAACCATATAATTGGAAATGCAAGTACCCCATCAGTTGAGTCAAGGTACATTTGTACTACAAGCATTTATTAATAATAATATTCAGGCTCAATGCATTTTCTTTGTGTCTAAGCTACTTGCTTAATGTTTACAGATTCACTTCAGACTTTGAATTCATTTCGGTTCTTGGTAAAGGAGGTTATGGTGCCGTTTTCAAAGTAAAGGAGAAACTGTTGGACATGGATTATGCCGTAAAGATTGTCTCTGCTTCAGACTCAGAGTAAGTATGGAGTGCTTCTTTGGGCAATTCAGGACAAATGCTTGAACTTTACAATAGATGCATTTTGATTGATGTTATGTAGAAAAGCTTTGCGTGAAGTGAAGACGTTATCGGACCTCCAACATGAAAACATTGTTAGATACTACCACTGCTGGATTGAGGATTCTAAGGTGCAACAGGAATTCCTCAAAAAGAAACTAAAACGGTATGTTTTTTCTCCCCTTGTTTCAATTAATAAAATTCCTCCTACAGACTATCGTTATAATCACATTTTCCTCTCTTTTTTTAAATTTCCAGTATCCAATGTAAACAGTACCTCTTCATTAAGATGGAATTATGTAACTCAACTCTTAAACAATGGATTAAAGTGATGAATGAGAATGAAGTACAGTACTCCCAGAGAGGAGCAGACAGTCTTCCTATTGCAAAGCAAATTGTCACTGGAGTGGCATACATTCACAACAACAACCTCATTCACAGAGACCTGAAGGTGAGGCTTCAGCTTTCAGACAACAAATCTGTAATTTCTTCTTCATTTGTTCTTCAAGACATCGTTCCCCAATCCATCATCTAAATGTGTATTTCCTAATTTCTTGCTTGCACTTGTTTATCCCTTCTTTCTTTTGTCCATTTTCCTTAAGGCTTGCTTTCTTGTCTTGCATCCTCATGTCCTGCTTTTATTATCCCCTCTTCTTCTCTCACACTACCATTCCTCTCTTTTGTCCTTCCTTCCATTCTTTATGTCATTCCTAAAAAAAGTGTTCAAATAGGACAGAATTGTGAGGAAATACAGTTATCCTTGAAATGCACAACATATATGTATGTATTCCTTATATATGTACAGTACATACACTATATTGCCA